AGATTTTGACGACAAGGAATATCGTATGTGCCCAAAAGACACTGACACTAGGTGCAAATTTTACTCACACAAAATTATGGTATTAATACTTATATAGAGCACGTAAATCTTTTTGTTGCAATCTTTGACATTTTAAAACCAACTTTTACTGATTTATCTTCAGATGGTTTACTTAAAAATTGTCTTTACGGTGAGACGCAAAATGCCAACGAGGCACTCAATCAGATTATTTTGAGACCCCCAAAAAGATTTATGTTGGTAGTAGGGTCTTAGTCTGGAGTTAATTCAACTGTTATTGAATTTAATGAAGATCCGCATGGAATTCTCTCTGTGCTAACTAAATTTCAACTAACAGGATATGTTACATCCATGAAACTCAAAAAAAAAGAAAAAAGAAACTATAAAGTGGTCTCTTCAAAAGTCTACTGACAGTGTATTTTTTCTTGCTTGTTTCAAATATTGTAACTTTTTATATACTGCGAATATTAAAATATCCTTTTCTCATCCGTTTTAATATACCTTAATAAATATGCATGCCAGTTTTCAGCTGGATACAATTGATTCGCTAACTTATCACAAAAATTACTAGTTTTTTTACTAATTGTATAAAATAATTGGGTAATCATGTTGTTTTTTTTAAGATGATTTTTGTAAATAGTTTATAGGACCAAATTTTTGGTAAAATAATTAAATCAATAACCCTCTGCAATCAAAAGTTAGCTTTTACTGTAGAGGGCCACCTAAATCATTTCCCAAATCTTTTAATAATAATAAATTGAAAAATTTTAAGTTTATTAAATAAAGTAATTTCTCAAGATTTGTATTTTTCTTTACATTTCTGCAGATTTCTGATTCTGATTCTGCAGATTTGATTTTGGTGTCAGAAGAAAAATCATAAACATCATCAACATTATTTGATATATTATTTTCAACAACAACAGCTTTTTCCTTGTTTTGTTGGTCATCACTTATGTTTATAAAAGATTTGTTAGGATTGTGCAGATGCCGATTTGTTCTTTTTCTCTTCCTGCTATAAATCTTTTTATTCCCCTGAGCCATAATTTTACTATAACTTCAAATAGATTTGCAATATAAACAAATATCCAAAAAAAAAATCAATAGTCAAATAAACTTTTTACTTTTTGGAACTATTACAGCCTCTTTTTTCAACTTATGACTTAAAGCTTATCATAACTAAAACGAGGTTAAATATTCACATCAATTTTTAACTAATAAAAAAGATGTTTGATTAGTTGTTGACCTAAAAATTAGTCAAAATGTGGTTGCAATGGGGGTTTCTAAGAATATTTTTTTTAGTTACCTTAATATAACAGCTTATATCTTTTTGTATTTAATCCAAACTTCACTTATTAATAGTCTATTCATAAGTGATGAAGGAATAAATTGAGATTAAAAAAATCAAATATTTTTATAAGAAAAACAAGCTTTTATAAGTGGAAATAAAGTTTTAAAAGCTCTTGTTTAAATGATTTACTTGATTTACAATTAATATATACAAGTTATCATATTTTAATTTTTTATATATTATAACAATTTAAATTACTAAATAAAGTGAATTTACAAGTTCAACAATGCTTTTAACAAATCTGTGTACCTAATGAGTTACAATTAACAACCGACAAATGTGTAAATCTGAAAAAAAAGTGATATATTACTACTAAACATGAGACATAGTAGAACTTCAAGATTACTTTTTACCAATTTTAATTTCGAAAAACCATATTCAGCTGTGGCAATCGTAACCAAAAGGGTCAGAAACTGACAGCATGCTGTAAACTTATTTATTACTGTTATTTAATACTACGGGAAAACCTGATCAAAGCTATTGAATTTTATCAGTAAAATTATTATTATTTTTTTTTTTTTTGAAGTTATTAAAGTGTTTCAAGATTACCAATCGGTCTTATCACCGAGCATCGAGGAGGAGCGTTTAACTAGGAAGTTACTTCTTCTTAACTAATGTCGCTTATTAGGCTAGAGCATGTGCTAGTGCAATAATTTTTTTGGTACTACTGTTGCTGGTGCTGTAAGGAAAATCCTCAAACTGACACTGAGGTATGGAAATATATTTTCTATTTGCACTCTATCAGAGCATTTATCATTTACCAAATTTGGCATTGTGAATTGTTATGCGTTTCATTTCTTGTACAAGGTCTTTACTGATGATATCTTTAAAATATTTTTGCGCAAAATTAGCTTTATGTACTAATATTATGTACTAATAATTTATGTTTATATATAATTGTCAAGTTTATATAATATGTACAAGTTTAGCGTAAATCCACATTGTCACGGATAGTTACTAGTTGTAAAAGCAAACTTTCTATATATGAAACCTCCGTATCTTAAGTTGCTTTACTCGCTTGAATGATTTTGTTGCAAAAGTCAATTGGAACTTAAATTCTATGCCACACAACTGACATTATGATGCAGGTAAAAGTACTGATATAAGAAATTGCTCACCAAATCTCTTTTCTAGTTTTTGAAGTAAGATTTAGCTGGAGCAAGTATTCCAAAGTCACCTTTACTCCTGGAAGGTGAGCTACAAATGGTTTGACACTTTCAACTTTATCTGGCCATCTAGTGCAAGATATATTATGAAGGGAACAACCAATATGCTTAGATAATATTTCTCATTTTTTAGGCCTAAAACTGAATAAGGTGTATCTTGTTTACACAGTTTCGAAGTAAGTTATGGTTTCTGGAATACATTCAGCAGCATCATTACCACATAAGTTAAGTACGTGGCAGCCACAAATAGAAAATATAGCAGTAAGACATTCTTCTTCTGTTATAGCTTGTGTTACCTTGTATTTTCATGAAATGTTTAGCGAATTATCATTACTTTGCGCCCTACAATCAGCGAGTGGAATAGCATTATTTTCAAAGTTTTTGTATTCATTTGAGATATTTCAGAACCATTTTGGTCGCTACAATCTATAAATTTCAAAAATAGTTCCACAATTTTGTATTGCAATTCATGGCGAACTAAACAAACAAAATAAATGCTGTTAGCTCAACATGAGATGAATCTGTTTTGGAATTTACAATTATCGCATAGTATTTTACGAAACGCCTTTCTTCCATGCTACTTTGATTTCTAACATGCTTAACAAGATCAGAACATTCTGCAATAAATTAATTTTGAAAATCATTTGAAAAGTAATGTCCTTGCAGCCTTTCGCCTCTTTTATCGTGGCTCAGCTACTTTTAGAACGTGTTCCTTTAGAATAGGGTCCCAGTTAGAAAGCAATTTTGTTAGACCTAAAAGTTTCCATTATCTGAGTCACCAATGCGTTGCGAAGACCCCTGGAAAGCAATGCTATGTTCTTCTAAGAAAAGTATAACATCAATAGTTCTTCTAAAAATTTGATAC